GGACGTATTGCCACAGACCAGTCTTCTGGCCCTTAACGACGAGCTCGGGGAAGGTGTAGTGAGCGCTGGCCGTGCTGGCGACAGCGAGAAGGGTGGTGAGGACGGAGCACTTCATGGTTGGTTACTGTGAAGAAGATGTGATGATGGGTATCTTGATGTCTATACGAAGTACCAAAGCCCCCTCTATATATACAACCATCCTGATGGCTTGGTGGAGCCGTCACACATCCAGGTTTCTTTATATTGCAGTACTATGCGCCCCAGACTCAGGCGTGTGGTACTTCATTTTTTCGCCGCCTTGCGCACGAGTAGGTCGATAATGTTCCGGCGGGTAAAAGAGATGGTAGGCGATGGGGCGTTGCCGAACCGAGGTGTTGAAACGCGAGACCCAGTACAATTAATTCATGGGAAACATATGGATGTTTAGATGAGGTTAGTGGCGCTAATGTCTAGTCATTGGTCGGCAAGCAACGTCCCCCTGTCCGGTAGTCGAAACACATGACCCGCGTCCGATATTGCGACAGCGGCTTTGCCATCCTGGTAGATTGAATGGCGTCTTTAGTTGCACCACAAGCGTACGTTCGATTCGAGGCGACTACTCGAAGCGATGCACAGTGGCTGCTAGAATATATTGATCGTGTGGGTTGCAGTATCGTGGCGGCATGGAAGGACTTGAAGAAAACCCGGGACGAAGATGCGAAACACTATGGACATGAAGCTTGTTTTCGTTAAATCCGATCGCGACCTTCTAGATGCGTGATAACGACATATGATACAGTGGGGTATGGAAACATGTACCTGTTGATCGAGCGATCGTCAACGGGTGAGCGGGAACGGTGAATGTGCTTGCCTGACAGCGAGCATGCAATGTGGGTCTCCCAGGTACGCCAATCTCATGCGTTTCGTCTGCTCTCGACGAGGGCCAATTGCTTCTGTTCCTCTGCTTCAAATTCGCCGGCTTCGTAGTACAGATCCTCTTCGTCAATGTCGGCATAGCCGAAAATGCTGCGGTAAATACGTTCTCCAAGTCCCTTCTTCTGGGCCATGGCGAGCACCATGACGATGGGAAGGTGCCAGATGCTAGCCCAGAACAGACCTCTAGCAGTTCCCTTCTGTCCCTCGGCCTTCCAGAACTGCCAGGCTTTGAGTGCCATCCAGCCGTTGACGACGCTGCTCGTGGCTACGTAGCTCCAGTCGGTCACGCCGCAGTATGACAGACCGATGCAAACAGGGAACATCAGAATAGAGTATCGCAGTGCGACTCGTCCATTCATTCCAGGGTTCACCCAAGCTGTCATGCGGTAGCCCGCGTTCTTGTATTCGTCGCGGATAGCCCAGCTCAACGCGTTGAAGTGGGGGAACTGCCAGGCGTACAAGAGCGCAGCGCACAGCCATCCACCAGCTGAACCCTCACCGAACAGCAGTTCTTCCCAAGTTCCATCATGGGCGTACTGACTCGCTGCAGCCGTCCAACCCATGAGCGGCGGAATACCTCCCACGATTGCGCCAACCCATGTGTTCAGTATATGCATGCGCTTCATGGGTGTGTACACGCCCGCATATAGAAAGATGTTGGCGGCGCCAAGAAACGCGGTCGTGGGGTTGACACCGTAGTAGAGGGCGCCGGTGCCAAACACCCCGCATGCGACAGCGAAGATGATGGCGCCTCGTGGGCTTATGAGCTTCCGGACGAGAGGCCTGTTGCGCGTACGACTCATCTTGGCATCGTGCGCGGGCTCCATAATCATGTTGAAGGCATTCGCGGACGCCGAGCACAACGCCGTGCCCGATGTGAGGAAGAAGAGTGTAAGGGTCGAGAGGGAAGGAGTGGCTGTCGCTGCCGGGGCAAGCAGACCGGGCACGGGGTATAGCGAGTATGCGGCGGTCGCAGTGAGGACGACAAGGAAGGAGAGGCGCGGTTTCGAGAGCGAGAGGTATGTAGTCATCATGCGCTTGAGCGACTGCTGCGGGAGGCTCGAGGATATGTGTGCGAGTTTCGATGACGCATCGTGTGGTATTGGATATGCCGCCTCCGAATTCTCTACTGCCTGCTCTTTTGCTTTCTTCCGCCGCCTATGCGGTAACACTTCTTCTGTGCTCGTTGTGCCATCCTCCTTCGCCGCTTGCTGCCCGCTTGCATTCGCCGATTTGATGGACAGAATCGAGCTCTGTAACTCTGGCCCTGACCTCCAGAATGTGTCCTTTAGTAGTGGGTTCGCTCGGAAGTAGTCCTTTCCGAAAGCAGTACCGCGTCGTCCGGCTACTATGGCGTCGTCTCTATATGACGGGTTGAAAGAAATCGGTCTCCGGGACTGCAGCGGCACTTTTGCGAGTCTGCGCCAACATCGTGGACATAGTGTGTTCGTATTCCGCACTGCAATTGGCCGCGGCAGTATTGGTCGAAAGCTCATGGCGGCATGAGGTTGAGCTCCAGCGGGCAGTCGACTTGAGAGCGATAACTTTTGGATTGCACCTGCCAAGAGCCGAGGCGCGCTAGCCATTCAGACATCCCGCATTTCTACTCCACACTCACCCCGTCTCCTTCTCAGCCTCACCACGTCTTGATAAGCGACAACCGTCAGCACTTATCTGCGCTCGTCACCGGAAATCGCAAGGCTGCAAAAAAAAAAAATTGAGTCGCTTTTTTGCAATAATCCGACCAGGCATCAGCGGACTGGCATGGAGCTCTTCCGAGCTGGAGGCGATGCCGAATAGCACAGCAGCTACAATACGCGATGCCTCGGATGCTCCATGATATGATTACGCCGCAAACATGTAGGCAAAGTTCAGCATAGGGCCCTAGAACCAAGTCAACTCTTGAGTAATCCTGGAATCGGATCGGAGCTTCACACCATTTTGCCATGCACGTCCAACTGTTCGATGCAGACCCGTATAACATCGTTCGTACCCGTCCTAGCCGCATTGCTGCCCCCGGCTTGTAGATGCAGCATGGCCCCCACACGTTCAGCTCAAAACTGTCAACACAATTCCGTGTAACTTGCATGGGCCCGACAGCCAATGGATGGTCGTCAGCCTGCAGCAAAGCGGCGAGGCTATGTAATACCTGGAGAAGAGCATGAAAGAGGCTGTGTAAGCCACAAGGCTACGTGCTCTGATTTCTATTGCCAGCGCATCGCTCCCCGCGTCCGCTGAACTGTCGTTCGCATCGTCTACGTTCAAATGGATCCTATTAGCATCATCGCGTCGGCGATCACCATCGGTGCAAGCGCAGCCCAACTTTCGCTTGCTCTCTCCAGCGTAGTCCAGACACTTAAAAATGCACCTGCAGAGATAGCGGATATCGGTAGGCAGTCTGCTCCGCTTTCAGCGCATAACATACTCAATTAAACTAGCCGATGAGATATCTCTACTTGCTGGAAGTCTGCAGACTCTTGGAGAGATCCTTGGTACTCACCAGAATCTATGCAAGCCGGCATTCTTCGCAAATACTCGCGCTATCATATCGAGATACGAAGGTGTCGCTGCGGAGATACGACTGCTAATTAATCAACGACGAAGCTTGGTGAGGCTCAAGTGGCTGTCAAACAAGGTGAAAGCGAAGGGTCTTTTGAAGAAGATCGAGGGAATCAAGACGCTATTGGTTCTGGAGCTAAGTGTGATCCGCCTCGCTGGAGAAGAGGCTAATCGGCCGTAAGCATTATCAATGTTGTCTTCGAAGATTTGTGGTCACTCACGTAATCAGATCTCCCAACTTCGACTCGAACGGTCAAAGCCATGGTAGACCAGGATTCAATCGGTTCCGTAGGATTGTGGAAAGCGCTGTTCAGGCGGGCAGGCACGTTGTAGAGAGTGCACAGCAGGAAGACGAAAAGCTCGAGGCAGGCACGGAACGACACTCCTCGGCTGAAATAGACCTATGGAAGAGCGCTTCTTCGGACACTGCGCCCTGGCTCTTTCAGATGGTATTTAGCGCTGGCGACACAAGCCCCCCGCCTCCATACCCACAAACACGTCAACTCCACCAAGCATCCGTGGTTGATGAAAGCGTTGAAACAGCCACAAGAAGTAGCCACATACCTTCTTCTGAGCCTGTCACGGTACCTACGAGGCGGCCTTCGAGTCCAGATGAGAAGGCTATGATCTTGTGGAGCAGACAGACAGAACCCGATCTAGTAGTAAATCGACTGCTCTCCTCATGGACCACGCTTTCGCCCAACCAAATTAGTCTCAGCTCAACTCGTCAACACGGTGTTGAGGGTGTTGTTGAGGATGATGCCTGGAGGGAAGACATTCTGAGAAAATTGGAGGAAGCAAAGATGGATGATGACGTATCTCTGGACGAGTGGGAAGAGGAGAATGAGCCCGTCGGGTCCGACGACGAAGCATTCAAGAGTGCCGAGGAAGACAGCACGTTCGATGCAAATGCACCTCCGTACAACTTCCGCCGCAACACCCAACAAGCTCGTGCGAGGAGCGCAGGGACGTCTAGCTTCAGTCCGCATGATCGTTATGCATACGGATCGTCGCCAGTCTACAACGATCCCCCGTCGCCCAGGCGAAAGCCTGGTGAACAACATGTGACCTTTGGAAAATCTTCAACCAGTCGTCCACGTCGACGTGGATCTAAAGAAAGGAAGCCTAGCGTGAAGCCGCCACGCGCAGAGGCTGGAACCAGACGGCCTTCGTCCAGAGTTCGCACGATTCATAGTGATCAAACGGATGTAGCTTTCAATGCCCCAAACCATGACTGGGTCAACATTCGCGATCCTCAAAAGGAACCCAGATCGGGGTATTCGAATCCCTTCAGGCCTGGTCACATTCCGCCCCTCGTCAATTATGCATACAGTCCGCCATGGCAGGAGACACCACACGTGCCACCACCTCCCGAGCCGCCGAGACAGGCATATGCATCTGATTCATACCCAAAATACCCTTCAAGTCATCAGCCAGTCGTTGAATCTTCACCGCCGTCTCCTGCTCAAGCTCCAGCTCTACCGATGCCTCCTCCTCCACCCCCGCCACCTGCTCCACCCGTGGAGATGCAAACAAGAACGGCCGAGGATGAGGCCAGAGAGAACGCAGTTCTTGCTCGGGTAGAGACACTACTCCAGAAGCGCAATCAAGAACCCCGCATTGAGTACGAAGACTCACCGTTTTCGAAACTGGCGAAGATATTCAAGGAGCAAGAAGTCCAAAGCGAACGGGAACGAGCCAATGCAACAGCTGAGGTGTACATGAAGCAGATGCAGGATGCCCATGAAAAGGACGAGGCGAAAATGAAACAACTCGAAAATCTGGTAGCAGCTCAAAGGGCAGAGCAAAAGCGCATGGAAGTCATGTGGGAGGAAGAAAGGAAGAGCATGGAAGTAAAAGCCGCCAAACATGCTCGAGAAGTGAGAGACCTGGCAGCGAAAGAAATTGCAGCGGCACAGTTGGCCAAAGAAACAGCTCAAACAGCTCTCAATGCTGAGAGGCTGGAAGCCGAGAGAGAGGCACGAAGAAAAGCTGACGCCATGGTCATAGCGGAAAGACAACGAACCGACGAAGTCCACAGGTTGCAATTGCAGCGCTACGAAGAGCTACTTCGTGAGATACAAGAGCAGCAGCTGAACTCAGAGCAAGACAGCAACCAGACTATAAGACGGACTCGCGTTGCGGAGGGCAATCGCAGTGAGGACGTAACAGAATATGCGACAAGTAGAGGAGCTCCACTTGCGACATCATCTTCCACCTCGTTCTTGGAGAGTTTCACGCGCTTCTATATGAGGCCGAGCCATCACAACCACGCTCATAGAACTTCCCGTCGAGACAGCTTTCACAGCTGCGCGGCCTCAATACATGCTTCTCGTACTTCGTTGGGGAGCACAAAGACTTTGGACAGTATTCCACAGTGTCAGCAGTTGATCGTCTTCCCCGCCAAAGCCGACAGACGCTCCCAGAGGATGGGTGAACTACAGAGATCGCTAGCTGGTTTTGGCATCGAGTCTGCCTTTGAAGACGTCGAAGACGCGCATCCACTCCACAACCGTCAACTTATACAGTATGAATACGACAACACGAATGTTCAGGTTGTCAAGAGTACTATATTCTGGGAATCACCCGCGCTCAAACTAGGAAGCGAGCTTCTGCTGACTATGAGGCAAGCCGGATGGAGACCGAGTTACACTCGCATATCAGGTAATGATTCCTTGCTAAAGTCTGGTACCAATGTGCTAACACTGTCTAGAGAAAGGTCAGACTCACTATCTCGGAAGCCAACCGGTACATACTTACTTCTTCGACCCTGATTACGAACCCCAGTTCTGCCTATCTGAGACAGCACCAGGCAAAGAGTCGATCACTATTCAGAAAGCTCTCCTGGATGAGTATGCGCTGATCGAGATGGGCTTCGAATTCCAAGTCAACGACATGGGATTATATATCCTCGACGGCAGTCTGTCATATGTAAGGAACTTGAATACTTGCTAGTACAAAGTTCATACTGATGCTTTGTAGAACGACATCGAGAATCTGATTGAACGGTCGTTCCTCATAAGGGAAAACAACTATCGGCGACTACACCGACAGCTACAATGGCATTTCGATAAAGACCCTGAATTACCCTTGAGTGCCTACCCGGCAACGTATGCGCCATCAGTGCACTCCGTACCTTCCGTGTACTCGGGTGAGAACTCCACTGTCTGCGACGACACAGATACAGAGAGGCGAGGCAAGAAGAGTCCAAGTTCCGCTGCCTCGGATGCGGATCATTCAGATATTGGAGATGTCAACAACTTCCTTGTTCCCCGATTTGAGGTATCGAGAAGGTCATCAGTGCCGTCTTCCGTGGCTTCACGGACTTCGAAATCCACGAATCCATATCGAAAATACATGAATGCGGCGGAGGATATCGGAGTCGATAGTGTGTCTAGGTCATCTCGTTCTCCAAGCCACTTTGACTGAGGATGTATGTGTAGATATCAAGCTAGACGCAAGAAGAAGTGTATGAAAAGGTGCGACTTCTCTAGATAAAAGGGCTTGTTGTTCCTCGCTGCCCTTGCGACCATTAAGCTCTCTGCTCTGATGCAGTTGCGATCATCGTCAATCTGTTGTATACACACATTTGACTACTTATATCTGCATCTATCCTGTGTAGCTCGCAAAGTGTCTTCGCGCCGTGAGTATTTGCGGAGGTGTTCTCCCGCTAGCCCATGACGCAATCGGCATCCCGAGAATCGGTATCATTCCGAGGCAACACAGAAAACTTCATAAGCATCGCGCCTTCTACACGCTCCTTTATCAATTTCGCACCCTATCTTCCACGCGCATTCTGTACATGCGCTTCAAACACTTCCTCGCCCTCTCAGACCCACGTCTTTACACGCTCGCCAACTTCCGCGTCCGCTCCCATTGGCGCACCATGGCCGCCGCTCCGCCCCCAGATCGCCCGATAAAGCTACTCATGCTCCATGGCTACACACAATCAGGGTCACTATTCCAGGCCAAGACTGGTGCACTGCGCAAAACACTACAGAAAGCCTTTCCCAAGGGCATCGAGCTCGTATACCCTACTGCGCCGATACGATTAACACCCGCCGACGAATCGTTCCTAGCAGGAAATACAAGTAAAGATGGCGAGGGTAAAGATGCAAAAGACGGAGAGGAGCAAGAAATTGATGCATGGGCGTGGTGGAGGCGGAAAGGCACAGGAGAGCCATACACTTACGAAGGCATGGAGCAAGGGTTGGAGCGCATCGCAAGCGTGTTGAAAGAACAAGGTCCTTTTGACGGTGTCGTGGGTTTCTCACAGGGAGGAGCAGCGGCAGCTATGGTCGCGAGTTTGCTCGAGCCAGGCCGTCGCGCCGCCTTTGAGAAGCTGTACCCTGAGGGCGGCATGAGGTTCCCAGAGTCTTTCGAAGAGGACACTGGGTACATGGAGGGCACAATACATCCGCCACTGAAGTTCGCGGTCAGTTATAGTGGTTTCGCAGCGCGTGGGAAGAACCCTTATCACGCGTTCTATGAGCCTAAGATCAAGACACCGATGCTACATTTCTTGGGAACGCAGGATGTCGTGGTTGAGGAGGCGCGGAGTCTGGCATTGGTCCAGGCTTGCGAACATAGCGAGGAGAAGTACGTTGTGTATCACCCTGGGGGTCACTTTCTACCAAGCACGCAGAAGGCCAGCGTCAATGCGTTGATTGGGTTCATCAAAGAAGTCTTGCACGAACAGCAGGGTGGTGGCAAGAAGGAAGAGGAAAGTGTTGAGGATATGGATGTGCCGTTTTAAAGTTGAGGGCCGACAGATTCAAGCGTCATGAGAGCATTGATATCTATATAGAAGCGAGGCGTTCAGGTAGACTACTAGTAGACGATAGACCAAGAATGGAACATGCAGCTCTTAATGCAATGCACGACGCGGGCAGCGCTGTCACAAGACCAGGCGAATGCGCACGGACCCCCTACCCCATTGTTTGGGTTGGCGCCTTCCATGTTTACATGAGCGCTGTCATCCCGAACACCACCACCACATACCAAATCGCGACTCCACTATGGCGCAAGCAGGCAAAGAGAACATTGCTGACGGCCTCATCGCGAATGGCTCCTTCAAGGCGTCTACGCAGCCTCTGAAGAAAGCAGCATTATCACCAAAGAAAAAGACGCGTAGTAAGAGTATCGGCCCTGGAGGTCTGGGGGAATTGGAAGCGCCTCCTCTCAAGGAGAGTTTCGGAAACCGCAGAAAAGTATGCTTGTACACGCGATTGTAAAAATTAATGCTGACCAAATAGTCTGCGTTTATCCCCGCCGTCAAGTCCATTCTAGCCTCAAACGATGAAGATGAGAAGAAGCGGCGCGAAGCGCGCCGCAAGTCCCTGGGTACGTGTTTCGGGCGTGAAATCGACCTGTAGGTTGACTAACAATTATTTAGCAAGGCGACGCGTGTCTTTCGCCCCAGAAGCCACTCTACACACATGGGACGTAGTCGAGTACATGCGCGATGCGACCACGTCGTCCGCCTCATCGGAGGCCACACGCAGAGCCTCGAACGTCTCACAAGCATCCACACCGGCATCGCCTGCCCCTCCATCGGACCCCGCCGAACCCCCGTCTACACCACCAGAACAAGCCGAAGAGCCTCAACCAGAGCCTAGTTCGTCACCTGAGAGCCAACGCGCGCAACACCAAAAGAAGAACCGTCGGAGTTCAGGCATACCGCCGATGAACTTCAACAACCCCGACGACGTCTACTCTTCAAGCCCGCTAAGTGGGGACAATGCTTCGCCTGGTGGAAACGATGACGGGAGCAGCGACTCTGAGGATATGGATATCGACGATGCCACAGAAAGTCTAGGAGTTTCACCTGATGTTGAGGACTCATCGCAGAGCAGCGCTCGACTGGATGCTGCGCTGCGCGAGGCTGCAAACTTGGCAGGCACCCAGAAGCTGGATTTCGACGAGGATGACGGAGACATGAGCATGGAGATCGCGCAAGATGAAGTCACCGCATCTTTCAAGCCCTGGGCAAAGAAGAGCTTCGTTGCACAATATGACAAGGAGAATGCAAGCCCTCTTTTCTCCCCGGCACGCACTGTAGCAGGCGAGGACGACGACATGAGTATGGACATTACGCGCGCAGTAGGCCGCATCGTACCTCCGCCACCACAACAAAAGCAGCCGGAGCAACAGCAACAACAGCGCGCAGACGCAGCGAGCTCAGATGTCGACGACGATGACATGACCATGGACCTTACTATGCCACTTGGAAGCATACAGGCGATGGCGGCATCTTACAAACCAGCGAACAGGAGGAAGAGTCTTAAGAGGAGGGTCTCACTGCTCGAGGAAAACCAAGGCAGCCCTGCAAAGCGCACTGCAAGCCGGCGTACCAGTTTGCGACAGCGTCGACAATCCGAAGAACACGGCGAAGAAGACGCTACCATGGACCTCACAATGGCAATTGGAGCGATTAAGAAAGCGCCACAGCCGGAGCCAGCTAGACGTGCTAGTGTTGGAAGCGTCGCTGATGATGCGACGATGGACTTCACATTGGCAGTGGGCAGCATTAAGAATGGCAAACATCAAGCACAGGAAGACCAGGAAGAGGAGGTTGAAGATGAAGACCTTTCCATGGAGTTCACAAAAATCGTTGGACCTGGTATTAGGCGTGCCGGCAGCTCAACAACGACGCCACAAACACCCGTAGACGACATACCCGCTTCAGCAACCAAGACACCGACACCGCGAAAGTCGCCGAAGAAGTCGCCTGGGCGAAGAGGGAGCTCCATTCTGGGGGCCGAGACCGAATCAGCGCCTCAGGTCCTGCAAGACAACACTCCCAGTACGACGGGCGATGTGGCATATCCCACCCTTGACCCTGGTACGCCAGAAATCGTCAGGCAGAAGGATATTGAGGAAGTCGAGCCTTCGCCGTTTGTGCGCCGGACTCCGCTGAGTGCGACCAAAGAGAAGGAAGCTGTTGCGACCCCTTCAAACCCTACGCCGCAGAGGACACCCATGATGATTCCTGAGGACCCGATTGCAGCTACGATACTTGACCGACGACGTTCGTCCTTGTCTGCTGTACAATTCAGCCCTCTGAATGCACCACGCCAGGAGCCTACACTCAAAAGCACAGCACTTCTGAGCAATAGTATCAAGCTGTTATCTACCCCACGAAAGCAGACATTAATGTCACCAGTGAAGAAAGGGATGACGCCCAAGAAGTCACAGACTCCTCAAAAGCAGCCAACGCCAAAGCAGCCGACACCGACACCCAAGAAGGCGACTCCTAGGCAAAGCGTGAGCCCAATGAAGCGCGTCGCTTTTGGTGAAGAGCCAGAGGAAGAGACTAACGATGACGGTGATGTGGCAGAAGACATGTCGGAAGTTGAACGAATCTCGTTACAAGACTTCCTCGACATGACCAAGATTCGCTTCATGGATCTTAGTACGACCAAGCGACGCCATACTGCTGCTCCTTCCGCTTTTCATGATGTGGAAGTAGAGGAGAAGGAAGAATCTCTGGATCGCTACGTTGTGGCTGGAGCGTGCACCTTGCCTGAGTACGAACTGTATCAGCATGCATGCCACGAGATGAAGAAGTACATCTCGGACGGTCGCCACTTCGTCCGTACAATGGAGGCCAACGTACTAGAAGAGAATCCACTGCTGTTCAGCGAGTACCTCACTGCACCCCCGGATCAGCGCGCTGTCATGGACAATCAGTTCAAGAACCTCAAGACAAATGCGCGCCTCGAGGCCCGTGGAGAGTGGTATACATGGCGAAGCACGCTGCTGCACGATCTCAAAGCTGGTCTCCTCCACACCATGGACGGTTTCAACCACGACGAATCCACACTAATCAAACAGGAGCGCCTTCTTGACGAGACATTGCCTCCTCTAGTTGAGAAGAAGGAACGTCTGTTCACTGAGTGTAAGCAACTACAGCAGCGTCATGATGAACTCAACAGCTGTGACCGGGAAGAGCTTGAGCAGACGAGAGAGAAGCTTACTGCTACTGATGCCGAGTTGGAAGAGAAGAAGCTGCTTCTTGCCCAGCTGCAACAAGAGCTTGCCGACAAGGAGACACGCATCGAGGCAGCTAAGGACCGCAAAGTAGAATGCATCCAAGAGATCAAAGCAGCGGAACGTGTACGAGAGGAATGCCGCGGCTGGTCTACAAGCGAAGTCAGCAGTCTGAGAGGTATGTAATGCTCATTCCCTGAATGCGAACTACACTAACAGCACACTAGCGAAACTCACTGCTCTTGAACAAGCCTACGGATGGAGCATAACATCCGCTTCCTCTAACAGCATCACGATGACACACATGAACGACCTTGAACTTTATTTCGTACCTTCTGCTTTCGCCACCGGCTCCAACACACCCAACGGATCCATCTCGCTGGCCTACATCGGTGATTCAGCAACGCCACATCCTCGTGCGTTGACGACAAGCAAGCGCTTCTTCCTCCAGCTTATCCGCGCGCACCTTCATGGTATCCCTCAGTCGCAGACCCGTATTTCCTCGCTCCTCTCTCTTGTCAAGAATAGCTGGGCTACCGCTATTGCAGTCGCCGAGGGCGTCCGTTGGCTTGAGCACAGCTACATCACCGAAGAGTTCATCCTCTCGGACGAGCGCATGGCAATCTCTGCAAACATGTTGTTGCCGAGCCTTCAAACAAAGGTCAAGGCTACCTTTGAAGTCGGTGTTAGTCTAGGCAAGGAGGGCATCGAGACCGACGTCAATATGAGAGCTGAGGTTGTCTATGGTGAGAAATATGGCGAGGAGAAGATGGGTGCGTTCTTGCGCGACTTCTGTGGGAACGAGATCAAAGGAGAAAGGGAAATGTCTGTCTGGGCAGACGGCATGATGGATCTTGCTGCAAGGTTGAAGAAGACCGGAAGGAAGGGCGAGAGGAAGTAGGCCTGACGCGTGCCAGTTGGCATTATGATGATTACGACTTAGCTTATGGATCACGACGGCGTTTAGAGTAAGATAGCTTAAGCTTCACCTGGGAAATGCATTCTTCAGTAATCTTCAATCATCGCTTCTTGAACATGAGGTTATTCGAGTGTCGCGACACCCACCATGCCACATCTGCTCTAGTCATATCAGCCGGAGAAACTCATGATCGACGCCATACGGAACATCTCCAGCGTCGAGCCTAGCCCAATTCCCGCCGCAAATGCTCGGCACAAAATATACCGAATGTCGCGACTCATGGACGTCTGTTGTTGACGTTCAGTCCATGCTATCCTGGTTTTAGCCGTCCCCGCAATCCGGGCGCCGGGAATGAGTTGCTGTAATTTGCGGAGAAGGGGCTAATATGGCATTAGACTGGTATCTCCAATTCTGTATATGTACATGCAACCGCACTTTTAAGATCGTGAGTTTCGTCAAAAGACATTGGTTGCGATGTTACTCTCCGTCGCTTCTGTGGTCCTCGCCTTCGTGGCAGGCGGTACATCCGTTTCTGCATCACCAACCCAGTATCCCCATCAAAATGCATCTAATCCCATTGTCCATCTCGACTACGGTACCTTCCGCGGCGCATCATCTTCCCAGTACAACCTTACATACTACCGTAAAATCCCCTTCGCAGCGTCCACAGCAGGCGAGAACCGATTTCGCGCGCCTCAACCTCCACTCCCCATCACCAATGGCACATACGACACCGACCAAGCCTTCGACATGTGCCCTCAGCGCACCGTGAACGGCTCAGAAGACTGCCTCTACCTCGGCCTCTACTCCCGACCCTGGACCAAAAAGCAAGACCTGCGACCCGT